CTGGGCACGGTGGCTCACGCCTGTAATCCCAGCACTTTGAGAGGCCGAAGCGGGTGGATCACGAGGTCAAGAGATCGAGACCATCCTGGTCAACATGGTGAAACCCCGTCTCTACTAAAAATACAAAAAAATTAGCTGGGCATGGTGGCACATGCCTGTAATCCCAGCTACTCAGGAGGCCGAGGCAGGAGAATTGCCTGAACCCAGGAAGCGGAGGTTGCGGTGAGCCGAGATCGCGCCATTGCACTCCAGCCTGGGTAACAGGAGTGAAACTCCGTCTCAAAAAAAAAAAAGAAAGAAAGAAAGAAAGAAAATTGCAGAAACTTTAGGTTCTGAACGCCCAAAATTGTGATTTTTGGCCCCAAACTTGCTCCTCCTCCTTTGTCAGCTCTTTAAAAAGCCCACCTACAACCTATTTTCCCAGGTGAAAGTCAAGCTCTCCTCCTCTTCATTCTTATTCCCAAAGTTCCCAAAGCCCCCTGGCCATCGGGCCCTGTCAGTTCCCAAGACAGATCCCAAAGGCCACATGGATGTCTGCAGCAAGGGCTCGGCCAGGACCATGGGTCCGACTTTGTCCCATTACTCTTTTCCTGCCACACCACAAAATCCCTTGACTAATGTCAGTGTGAAGGCAAAGGTCAAGAAAAAACAAAGGGACTCTGACTAGCCCTGAATCAAGCCATGATACTAAAAACTGCAAATGCAAAGTAGCCAGCTACGCAATGACCTACTGATTTATGGAGAGACTAGAAAACCAGGATATTAATTAGGATCATTTTGTTCCTTAATAATGAGATTCAATTGACTTATAACCAGTTATAAGCTCACTGTCTTTCGCTCTGCATTGTTAATTGTACTTATTCATTTTTACAGTTGCTAAATTATAAGATATGTCATAGTTGCAAAAGAAAAGAAAGGATTTATGTGTGTTCTATGCTAGGCTGTGCAGGATAAAGTGAAATTTAAAGCATTAAAAATGTTCATGAGAAAGTCAATGTGATTCTCCCCAACTCCCAGTTCTCAGAGTAGGGAGAAAGCCAGGGCAGCCTCTCTGCTCTGCAGGCATTGCCAGTGAGATTCAATTGGTTGCACAGAACTCCTGAAATAGTTTATTATTCTGGGATTGGGCCAAAATGTATTTCACAGCAACCTGCCAAGAGTCCCAAGCCTTCTTAGCTACCCAAACTATATTATGAGAGAACTGTCTTCAAAGACCAAAATGCTCATCATAACAACTTCCATCATCATCATAATTACTTCTCTCCACATGAGAAAAGTTACTTAATGACCTTGAGCCTCCATTTTCTGGGTTCTGATATATACATTTGCTTCCACCTGCATAACCCAAAGCCTCACACACAGAAAGTACTCAATTCATGTTAGCTGCTAGTGGCATTTATCATAATGGGATATCTAAGCCAAAAACTACCCAAATTCAAATCTTCTGCCTGACTTAAGGACCTCCCATTATAGTCCAGTTTCTGTCTTCCAGGCAAGCATCTTCTGTTTGGCTTAGAAAAGGATAATAAAACAACCAAGGATCTTATTCCTCAGATACAACCCTCCTAACTACATATGGGAAAGCCTTGACTTTTCAGCTCCAGGAGAGCACAGATGACGTCTCTGATAATTGTAATGTTATACACACATACACTCAGCATTCATAGACATAGAATGTCAGGGAAAAGTTGGCTTAGTAGATCAGCTAAATCTACCTTGTCAAAGACTCTGAATTTTTGCTTTAGAAGAAATAGCAAATCAGATATTTCAGCTAAAGGACGAGGCCCCAAGGATCATGTACAATTAAAAATAGATGCTTTCTGTGCTGCCTTCAAAAGAAGAAAGGCTTTTTAAAAATAGAAAGACAGAAAAAGAGAGGAAGAAGGAAGGAAGGGAGGGAGGGAGGGAGGGAGGGAGGGAGGGAGGAAGGAAGGAAGGAAAGAAGGAAGGAAGGAAGGAGGGAGGGAGGGAAAGAAGGAAGAAAGGAAGGAAGGAGGGAAGGAGGGAAGAAAGAAAGGAGGGAAAAACAACTGCTTGTTGTTCTTGGCTCTGGAAATCTGGAAACACAATATGACAACAAAGAACTGGGCTCTGCTTAATAAAGAGTTGAAGAATTTTCAGTTTTCCCAAAGAAAGCCCAGGAAGGAGAAGGATTGAGGCTTTGCTCTAGATGGGGAAGAGAGAGAAGGGAAGCCCACAGGCAATGGGCATTCAGTGAATGACACCTCCTCTAACATTTAGATACAAGCTGGTAGAGTCACTGCTTCCAGCTGACTGCAACTTGCTGCAGAGTGGGGAAAAAAGTAGACCTAAGGGACTAAGATGGAATCTACAAAATTTTAATAGTGAGGTTAAATTCAAAGAAGTTTAATGAGCTATTTTCATAGCTTAAGTGACAATGCGTAAGCTAACACTATAGTCGTTCATCCAGTCTAAGATGCATGTTTTTCATATTTTGATGCCTCTACAGTCCAGATTCACCTTGCAGCTGACAATGAGTTAGTATTAATTGGCAATGCCTTGTTTTTTACTTTCTTTTTTGGAGGCAAGAAGAAGAATGGTGTGTCTTACAAATGACCTCTCAGAATCTATGAATATGACGAGCTCTGTATTAGTCCATTTTCACACTGCTATAAAGAAATACCTGACACTGAGTAATTTATAAAGGACAGAAGTTTAATTGATACAGGCTGCAAATTTTCCAAACTTGTATGTTCTGCTTCCCTTTTAAACGTAAGTTCCAATTTCAGATCATCTCTCTCAAGTTCAAAGTTCCAGAGCTCTCTAGGACAGGGGCAAAATGGTGCCAGTCTCTGCTACAGCATAGCAAGAGTGACCTATGCTCCAGTTCCCAAGAAGTTTTTCATCTCCATCTGAGATGCCCTCAGCCTGGACTTCATTGTCCACATCACTATCAGCATTTTGATCAAAACCATCCAACAAGTCTCTAGGAAGTTCCAAACTTTCCCACATCTTCTGCTTCTTCTGAACCCTCCAAACTGTTCTAACCTCTGCCTGTGACCCAGTTCCAAAGTTGCTTCCACATTTTCAGGTTAGCAGTGCCCTACTCCCTGTATCAATTCACTGTATTGGTCCGTTTTCACACTGCTTTAAAAAAAACACCTGAGACAAGGTAATTTATAAAGGAAAGAAGTTTAATTAACTCACAATGCCACATGGCTTGGGAAACCCCAAGAAACTTTACAATCATGGCAGAAGGAAAAGCAGGCACCTTCTTCATGGGGTGGTAGGAGAGAGAAGAGTGAAGGAGGAACTTCCAAACACATAAAACTATCAGCTCTTGTAAGAAATCACACCATCATGAGAATTGCATGGGGGAAACTGCCCCTATGATCCAATCACCTCCCTCCCTCCACACATGGGGATTACAATTTGAGATGAGATTTGGGTGGGGTCACAGAGCCAAAGTATAAGATACGCCAACAGATGTGCCAATGACTTCAATGCTTCTAACCATGTTTCACAAACAATGGAACTATCACAGTCCTCATGCTGAAATGTCATGACTTCGGGCCAGCAAAAACAGACTCAGGTTGTTGTTTTATTTTAAACTGGTATCTCTGAGAGTTCATAAAGTCCTTATCTAACCACCAACATGTGGTAGAGCACAGAGAAGAGTCCAGTTTAATTTTACCTGATAACTTTTTTTGTAAGCTGATGACCCAGCTAATGATGTGCTTTGATTAACTCACTGAGTCATAAATATATTGAATCCTTTCACCCTCATTACCACCGAGAAGGCAATTCAGAGCACTGCACCTCTGTAAACAATTTTTTTTAAAAAAATATATTTATCTGGGAATAAAGTATTGCGATGGGAATACATATGCCATACTAAAGCATGAGTGTTTTTAGAGAGATAAAGGAAGACAAAGGTTTTTAAAGAAAAAAAAATGCACACTACATAATTATTTTGAAATAATTATACATGGCTACAGAGATCCATAACAAGGTTGATGCCAGTCCAAAGTTGGACAGGCAGTTATTGGGCAGATGTCCTTGTAGAAATATTTTTTGTGTAAGGCTGTGATGGCCTGTATTTAAGGTTGTAATTTTTGCAGTCTTTTTATTCTTCCAACTTTTACTTTAGATTCAGAGGGTACATGTACAGGTTTGTTACATGAGTAATTTACATGTCACTGGAGTTTGTTATACAGATTATTTCATTTTTCAGACATTAAGCATAGAACCTAATAGGTAGTTTTCTTGATCCTCACGTTCTTCCCATCTTCCACCTTCAGGTAAGCCACAGTATCTACTGTTCCCCTCTTTGTGTCTACATGTACTCAGTGTTTAGCTCCTACTTAGAAGCAAGGACATGCAATATTTGGTTTTCTGTTCCTATGTTAATTATCTTAGGATAATATCCTCCAGCTTCATCCATGTTGTTGCAAAAAAACAAAAGTGATTTTATTCTTTTTTATGGCTGTGTAATATTTTTAGTCCAATTAGATTATTTCCTCTCTGCAAGACATATCATCCATTTTTAACTGGGAAACTTGCATAATTTTTATTCCACATTTTCCTTCCCAAAGAAAAGACTTAGACTTTCTAATTCCATCTTAGCCTAGTGGATACAGTAGATACTCTGGGAACAAAAAGTGCAAGACAAGGTCTTTACTAGAACGAGGAGCATGGCACAGTGAGAATCTTCTTCAGTAATGCTACAAAACTTCCGTAAAAACTCCCATGCATGCTCACACACACACACACACACACACACACACACACACACACAAACACATACACTCTTAACAAATTTGGATTTCTTGTTAAAGATTATTTTGAAGCTAGATAATAAAGGAACAAAACAGCCAGTGCGTGTGTCGGGGGGTGGGGGGGGAGGAGGGAACAGTTTGTATTTGTAATGCACAAACATTGACCAGAGTCATTCATGTACAAAGGTTAAAATCGACGTGACAAACAGGCCAAGGAGGTTACGTGCCTTTTCACTGGATCATGTTGTGTGGGCACCTGAAACAAGCAGGCAATAGCTAAATCCCAGCCATCACTCAATGTGTGCCAGGCACCTGCACACAGTATCACTAACACCCATGACAGTCCTTCAAGGGAGGTTCTGCTGTCTGAGAGATTAGGTGACATGCCTAAGGTCACAGGATCAGCAAACACTAGGGCTGAGAGTTAAACCCAGACTGTCCACTGCCGGAGCTTGTGATCTCTTCCTTGTGTCATGCTGCTTCCCGTTTCCGGCTTGGTCTCCACTTCCCAGTCCTTGAGTGAGTTCTCCAGGTCTGCCCCATCAGCCCTGCATCTCAGAACAAAGCTGCAGCTGGGTCACTAATCTCCCGGTGGTGAGTAACCTTCCCGCTTTGCATCTAACCTTGTGTTCTGCATTCAGTGCTGACAGGTAGCAGTACTCCTTCCTTTCTGAAAATGTCACCGAGCCATCTTCACAGAGAAAAGGCAGTGCTGACATTCTACTTTTCCCATGACTCCCTGGAGAGCATTTAATCCCCATGACCTTACGGCTATTTAAAAAGAGCCAATCCTCAGACCTTGTCAGTCAGTGACAGCCAGCGTTTTGTTTAATGGGTCCGAGGGTGGGCTTGGTTTGCAGTGGGGAAGGGTAACAACTGGCTGGAGTTTAAAAGGCAAATGGGGTTTCTCAGTGATTATTACTCATCAACAGTACTCAAATGCATGTTTTCCTTGTGTTTCTGTTCATAATCAGAAACAAATACAAAACACAGATATTTAAAATCTACTTGTTTTTATGATGACCTAGCAAGATGCTTCTTTCTGGCTGACTTGGAGGATACCCCCACCCTAGTTTGAATTTCTGACACCAAAAAAATGAGTATTAAGGTGTTATTTAGAATAGTTGAAGCATAACAGCTATGGACATTAATAATTATCACCTACTAAGCCAGTGCTGACTTTGGTGATTTATTTATATTACCCAATTGTTTCCTACTAATAACTCTCCATATATAAAATTATCTCCATTTCACAGATGAAAAAATTAAAACTAAGTCAGCGACTCAGGACCTGGGCTGTTCTGAGAACTGTCTGTCATCCATCTATCATGAGATGAGTGTAAAAATGGAGAGTGTTTAAAAACTTTTATAGGCATTTGACCCTGCCATGAGAACCAAGCAATATTAGATTTTTCTAGAAATTTGTTTTTACTGTATTTTACAAAGTTTCAGTCCACAGTGGTTTGGAATTAGAAAATAATTTGCCCTTGATCACAGATGGTTTTAGAAGCACTGTTCCAATAAAACCCTCCCTCTGGAATGATAGTCCAATGTGCAGGGAAAAATAAATTCAAGTGATTCTAACTTGCCGTTTAATGATTAGCCGTTCTTCACCCAAGTGGCTTGGCTTCTGGAGTGGCTGGTGGAGCCCAGAAATCTATCTAATTTAAAGCTCTTCCAGAGATGTAAGCTCCATGAGGGTAGTGTTTGAGGTCTGCCTTGTTTACTGACATACCCCCAGGTGAACAGTGCCTAGTTCTAGGTAGGCACCTAATAAACATTATTAAGGATATGAACAAATGAACAGCTCCTGATGGACAGACATGCTTGAGAACCACTATTTTTCACATTCCTATCTACACTCAAGATTTTACCTATGACAGCATGCTGAAGATTCCCATGAGCTTACATCCTAGCAGATAAGAACAAAAGTTAACCAACAGGATGATTAAGATCACAGAGATGCTAAGGAAGAATTGAAGCTGGGTATGATAAGCAAAATAACTCCTCTACCCCTAAAGCTGTCCATATCTTAACACCTAGAACCTGTGAATATGTCAGGTTATGCAGCAAAGGATAATTAAAGTTAAAGCTGGAATTACAGTTGCTAATCAGCTGACCCTAAGATAGAGAGATTATTCTGGGTTGGATGGGTGGGCCCAAGGTAGTCACAAGTGTCCTTAAAAGTGAAGGAAGGAGGCAGAAGGAGAGTCCAAAGGTGAAGTGACTACAGAGGAATGGTCAGAGATAGAATTTTGCTGACTTAGAACGTGGGGAAAGAGGCCATGAGTCAAGGATACAGGCAACCTCTAGAAGCTGGGAAGGGCAAGGAAATGAAATGTCCTTTATAAAAAGTAATGTAGCCATGTAACATCTTAATTTTAGTCCACTGAGACATATGTTAGATTTCTAACATACAGAACTGAAAGATGGGGTGTGTGTGTGTGTGTGTGTGTGTGTGTTTCTTAAGTCAGGGTCTTGCTATCACCCAGGCTGGAGTGTACTGGCATGATCTGGCTCACTGTAGCCTCAAACTTCTGGGCTCCAGAGACCCTTCTGCCTCAGCTACTCTGGCTATTTTTTTTTTTTTTTTAATTTTTGTTTTTTAGAAATGAAGTCTCACTATGTTGCCCAGGTTGGTCTCGAACTCCTGGCCTCAAACGAGGTTCCCACCTCAGACTCCCATGTTGCTGGGATTACAGGCATGAGCAGTCATACCCAGCTAAGTTTGTGTTGTTTTCAGCCACCATGTGTGTAGCATTTAGTTACAGCAGTAATAGAAAACTAATGCACTGAGTGATGACATTGATTGTAAGTAGGAAAGGTTCCCTTTAGAGGCATCACACAATGTAACAGTGTAATGAAATGCTCAAGAGCAAAAGCTAACCTTAAAAGAGCTGAGAGAAGATTCCAGGCAGAACAAAGAGCTGGTATTGGGTTCCAAAGAGGACACTCCTTGACAAAGGAGACTCAAGTGGCTGAGCTAGCAGAGCAAGAAACAGAGACAGAAAGGATGAGATGGAGCTGGAGAGATTGGCAGAGTCCTCTGCAGGACTGGGAGGTCATAGCAGGAGGACTGGAGTTTGTTTTATAAGCAGTAGATGGCTATACAATACAGCAGGGGGGTGATGGGTTGTTTTCCACTTTCTTAAAGGCAAAAAATTAGAAGCAAAAAAATTTCAATTTTGATAAAGTAAAACTTAAAAATTTTACCTTTCATCAGTTGTGGTTTTAGTGTCATATCTAAGAAATCATTGCTAAACCCGAGATCACACAGTTTTATCTGGCATTTCCTTCTTGGAGTTTAAAAATGTTAGCCCTTACATTTAGGTCTATGATCTACCTTGAGTTAATTTTTGTGTATGGCTTGAGGTAGGGATCCACTTTCATTCTTTTGCATGTGGATATGCAGTTGTCCCAGCACCATTTGTTGACAGGATAAGTAACATTTTACTGCAATAAAGAGACTCAGTAATAATGCTCTGCTGACTCATATTGATGCCCGAGGCAAAAGAAAAGAAAATCAGTAACACAGTGTTTTGTAAATATAAATTCTTTCTAATTTGATTTTGCAGTCTCTCTCTGGAGAGTGGCTATAAACTCTAGCCCTGCCCTGACAGGACTCCAGGGAAGGCAGTTTCTGGATGTTTACAGTGTACCTTTCATGGGATACTTCTTTATCCCAGTAAACTGCCTAATGCCTAAGTGTCAGACCATGGCCATGTGTCCCCCATACAGAAAACTTGCTTATTTTCACAGATGTCCCTGTGCCTGTTGTCTAAGCTGTGTCCAGTTTATTCCTACTAAGATAGCCACTCCATTGGAGAGCCCTGACCAGGAAAGAAGTTAGGCTCATGTGTGTCTGTCAGGGGAGACACAGAGGAGGCAGCAGAACACAGAACATAAAATAACAGACACATTTGTTACTTACAGATTCCAGAGAGCAGGGGGCAGTACTGGAAAGGGGGCAGCCAGGGCCACTGGACAGGGCACAGGGCCACTGGAAAGGGGGCAGCCACTGAGGACACATGCACTATGGGCCACTCAGAGCCACTGGAAAGGGGTCAGGGCCACTGGAAAGGGGGCAGCCACTAAGGACACGTGCACTCAGCCAGCAGGTGGGGAGCAAGAGAGAGTGAAGGGGACCGCTAAGCCAAATTCTTTGTTGGGATCCTGTGAGTTATTCAAGCAGGCTTCTTGTGGGGCGTTCTAACTGGTGGCACAGGTAGGCACTAGTTCCACGGGGGTCACACTGTAACTGAAAGGTGGCCATTGTGGCATACCTGCACAGTCCATGCAGAGTGAGGAGGTCAGTGGGGCTAATTAGGTCAGTTGTATCTGGCTGTCTCATAGAGAGGTAACCACCAGGAGTTGTATAAGCCAGATAGCTGGATTGACCACCTTAAGAAACTAGGAGGAGGTATGAAACTGGATACTGTATCAAGGGTGACTGAACCTGCTTCGGGTATGAGAAAGATAAAGTTGTCTTCAAAATGGATACTGAAGCAACATGAAATTATAAGAATTCACTCAATAATATTCATCTTAAAATTTTATTTTGTTCACTGTGGATTTTTCATTAATTTTGATTAGTTAAAATATTGAATTTAATATTATTTATCCTAGTGACTGAGACCTTGGAGCTCTTTTACATTTTGTGCCTAAAATAGGCCTTATTCACTTCACCCTAAAGTCCTGCAAAGTCTTCAGCTCAGTGTATCATGCCTTCCATGTCCTCACCCCTGCCTGCCCTCCAGCTGCCTCTCACTCCCTATTCTTCAACTCTATCACTAATAATACAGATTAGTTCATGTTTCCTTGCACACATCATGCTACGTCAAGTGCCTGTCATTTTGATCATGCTCACCACTTGACTTGGAATTACTTATCTTTATTATCTTGCTCTTTTCCAGCCTACAAGATCAGGTGTTGACTCCACCAGAAAGCTTTCCTTCAGCCTCCAGGTGGGTTGCTGCTCCTCTCCCCGGCTCCCACAGTGCCCTCCTCACCCACTGTGCTTCCATAATTATTAAGGAATAATAACATAGTGCGTATTAACCTCTAAAATAATTATTTATTACTTGTCTTCTCTCTCTCTGGACTGCAGCTCCTTGTCCCTTATGTCAAACTACATCTTATCCACTTAAAAATTCTCATGTCCTAGCACAGTGCCTGGAGTATGGCAGATGAGTAATAGATATTTGTTTAACAGTTCATCTAGCTAGAAGTACAGCAAGGAGAAACCAGTCCAATCTGCCTAAAGTGAACAGAGAAGGAAGAAGGACACAAGTTAAGCATCTGGCACAGAAAGCTTCCCTGCTAAAAAGCTGAGACATCCCAGAGAGTGGAGCTTGTGCCCGAGGTAAGAGCTCCTTGTCTGGGCTCTGAGGATGGAAGGAAAGATTTCCAAGACCACATTGGAGAGTCAGCCCCATGGGCAGAAGGATAATACAAAAATTTAATAACGAACTGGTCCTAGAGACCTACAAGTGAAGCAGGGAAGTGGCTACCTCCAAGAAGTTTAACAGTGAGCAAAATTAAGGGAAAATTCCCACTGAGCTCACTTCATTTATTCATTCATTTATTCACTAGTCATCCCATAAACATTTATGGAGCATCTTTTGGGATACTGGGGTAGGCCCTGGAACACAGGAATCAAAGATCATCTCTTTACCCAAAGAAATACAAGGCCAAATCAACTGTTGCAAACCTACTATGCGTGGGCTAGGACACCAAAAACATAAAGGTATTGACAACAAAGTCCGGCCGTCAGTGGTTTTACTGGATTATTCTATTTTTCTCACCAAATCCACTCTCTATCTCTGTCCACCCTGCTGTTCCCTGGGGAAGCTGAACCTGAACCACACTGTTGGGCTCTCTTGACCACTGACTCCCAACTGCACATGGGCAATGTTGTACATCAGCAGGAGATTGGAAGAAGCGAAGTAAACGAGGGTGAGGCGTTTACTACTATTGCTGTCAGATTCCCATGGGCCAGTTTTGTTGAAAGCCAGGAGTCCTGTGTTTCTTCCACATAGCCCCTGCGGTCTTCTGGCTCTCTTTCCCCTCTCTCCACTCTTTCAGGCCTACAATAGCGCCTCAGTTTCATAGTCCTCTGGCATTGGACTATTCTTTGTGGTTTCCTTAAGCCCTGCTCCCAGCTTTGTAAATAGTCCTTTATTAAATTCTTCTCACACTCTCCAAGTATAAGTGTGCCATCTGTTTCTTGCTGGGACCTTGACTGACACAACAAGCTCCCAGGGGAGATACGACAAGAACATCAATAAATGGGGGATGGAGGGAGGAATCCCCCTGGACATGTGAATGAATACATACGGCCACCTACTGGGAAAGGAGTGCATGAGAAACAGTCAAAGCCAAACGCCTTGGGATTGTTGGCCTTTGTGCCCAGGAGGCTGGAACAGAGCGAGGGGCTGGCTGAAGGCACCCGAGAATCCATTCCTGAAGGAGAGCAGATCTGGAGGGTAAGGAAAGATTTCTTTCTACCTGAGAAGTGCCTAGGAGACAGTGACTCTGAGTTTTTTGGGGGTAGACAGCAGTGAAGGCTTAATGAGCAGACCCCTCCGGGCTGGTCTTCCCTCCCTGTGCCACTCTGGGACCTTGAGGCAAAGGGAGGATCAGGCTGATACACCTCAAGTGCTACAGGGAAAGGGAAACAAGACAGTTTCCTGAGCTGCAGAATATGTCAAAAAATAAGAAGACGGAAACCACACTCTCCCAAGTCACCTTAAAGACATGAAGTGGGTTCCAGGCCTGTAAAAGCGCCTGCGGCTTAGCATAGCTACAGGTTATCTAGAAGTTTCCAGTGTGACAACTTTCACCTGAGGAAGAAGCATGCATCAGACTCCTCTAACGGCATTCTAATCACACTACTCACATTCCTCTTTTCAATTCCATCCTCCTCAAAACTCCTTAGGGGTATTATTTGGTTCCTCGTGTTGTTTTCCCACATGGAAGAAAAACCATATGTATGCTGATCAGATATAAGGTACCTAACAAGTAGAATTCACGCTGAAAATCAATACTTTTGGCATCTGCCGTCTCCTGCAAGCATTGCGTAAGTCGGCCTCCCCAAGTCTAGGAAACTTGAATGCTTTGAGAATCTACACCCCAAAGCCAAGATCAAACCCCTGGCTTGGGTGAAGTCAGGAATGTCAGTGCTGCTTGCAGGCTCCTCAGAAGCCCACCACCCACCCTCCCGGGACACACACAGACACTCTGGTACTTCCGACAGCCATTGTGCCAGGTCTCTCTCATCCCTTTCCTGAACAACGGATTGCTCTGACAAACTTCAGAACATTACCTTCATCTATTTTTTTTTATTTAATTTTAATTTTCATTTTTTTTAGTTTACACAGATTTTTTTTTTTTTTTTTTTTTTTTTTTTTGAGATGAAGCTTTGCTCTTCTCTGTAATGCAATGACACAATCTCGGCTCACTGCAACCTTCGGGTTCAAGCAATTCTCCTGCCTCAGCCTCTCCAGTAGCTAGGATTACAGGCATGCACCACCACGCCTGGCTAATTTTGTATTTTTGTAGAGACAGGTTTTCTCCATGTTGGTCATACCCATGACCTCAGGTGATCCGCCTGCCTCAGCCTCCCAAAGTGCTAGATTATGGGCACAAGCCACCACACCTGGTGACACAGATCTTATACATATTTATTGTGTGCAGCATGTCGTTTGAAATATGCAGACTTTCTGAGATGGCTAAATAGTGCTAATTAACATATGCATTACCTCACATACTTATCATTTTTGGGACTGAGATACCTTAATCTGTTTTCAGTTTCATAGCCTGACATTGGCCCATTGTTCTTGACTGATTCTGTCACTGTATGTACTACTTCTGTCAGATTAGAGTAATCCACACATTTGATAAGCAAGTGTGACTCAAGTGACTGACAAAAATGTGAAATATACAGCCTGAGAATTCTTCAGTCTCATCCTGGCTTCTCTCCTTTGAAAACTTTGGTCTGTCCTTTTCATTTTAAAATATAGAGCCCAGAACTACAGGCGCCATGACAGGTGTGGTCTAGCCTGTGCATGGCAAAGCATGCCTCTCACCTCATCGAAATTCTCTGCTCCTGCAGGCTGAGATCAAAATATCTCCCTTGCACATTATGGCTGATATTACTGAGGTGCTTCTGTCATTTTTATCCTGTAGATACTACGTCACATCAGTCCATCTTGTTGGTTTTCTTTTGGGCTCAGGTGTAACATGTTCAGTTCCTGTTCCGTCTTGCCTCGTTATGCTTAGACTGTTGCTGCAGCCTGTTAAGATCTATTAGGATCCTGTGTAGACCAGATACACCTCTCATCACTCGACTTGTGTCTAAGTCTCCAGTACCATCCCATCCCCACTTCTGTCTCAACACTTTACTTCCGGCAATAGTAACCGCTTCAGGGTCTCCCCAGTGTCTTCTGGACTTTGGATAAGGTACAATCTGTCCCACACAGAAGAAGTCGCAGACTAACACAAAGATCCACATCCCAGGCTCCAACCCATATTCCAGTCTATGCAACAGAAAGTAAAAGGATACGGGAAATCTGAGTCATGTGACCAGGAGGCTGGGGTCTAGTCCTGTCTCTACCCTTAAATGGCCCTTGTCTAGGGGCTGATATCCAGAATTTACAAAGAACTAAAACAGATCTACAAGAAAAAAACAAACAAGCCCATTCAAAAATTGGCGAAGGATATGAACAGATACTTTACAAAAGAAGACATATAGGAGGCCAACAAACATATGAAAAAATGCTCATCATCATTGGTCATTAGAGAAATGCAAATCAAAACCAAATTGAGATACCATCTCACACCAGTTAGAATGGCGATCATTAAAAAAATCTGGAAACAACAGATGCTGGAGAGGATGTGGAGAAATAGGAACACTTTTACACTGTTGGTGGGAATGTAAATTAATTCAACCATTGTGGAAGACAGTGTGGCGATTCCTCAATGACCTATAAAATAGAAATCCCATTTGACCCAGCAATCCCATTACTGGGTATATATCCAAAGGATTATAAATCATTCTACTATAAGGACACATGCACATGAATGTTCATTGCAGCACTGTTCACAATAGCAAAGACCTGGAACCAACCCAAATGCCCATCGATGATAGACTGGATAGGGAAAATGTGGTACATATACACCATGGAATATTATGCAGCCATCAAAAACGATCAGTTCACATCCTTTGTAGAGACATGGATGAACCTGGAAACCATCATTCTCAGCAAACTGACACAAGAGCAGAAAATCAAACACTGCATGTTCTCACTCATAGGTGGGTGTTGAACAATGAGAACACATGGACACAGGGAGGGGAGCACTACACACTGGGGTCCGTTGGGGGGAAATGGGGGAGGGATGGGGGGTGGGGGGGTGGGAAGAGATAGCATGGGGAGAAATGACAGATACAGGTGAGGGGACGGAAGGCAGCAAACCACACTGCCATGTGTGTACCTATGCAACAATCTTGCATGTTCTTCACATGTACCCCCAAACCTAAAATGCAATTAAAAAAAAAAAGTGAATGCTCCAAAAAAAAAAAAAAAAAAAAAAAAGGCCCTTGTCTGAGGATACACCAGGAATCTTTCTGACCCTCTCCAGCGGAGCAGAGGCTGCTCTTGATTCCCAATATCCAGTGTCTTCTGCTCCTAAGAACAGACCCCAATATTTAGAAGAGCACATAGAAGCTCCTAAAATGATGGCATTGCCAGCTGCCTTATAGCCAGGAGTGGTCATGAGATAGTTTTGGCCAATGAAATGGGAAAGGTCATGTGTGACTGACTTTCAGGAAGGTCTTAAAGGGGAGGGAATAAATCATCTTTGTCCTCATCCACTTGCACCTGCTGTCTGCCTGGAATGTGAAGGTGATGACAGACTTTCCAGCAGACATCCTAAAACCATGCAGTAAACTCAAGGTTAGAAAGTGGTCTGATGATTCTGGAGAAGAAAGATTGAAGCATCACCTTGGAAACACCATATCATGCCTAGACTGCCTTTACGCCAACTTCTTTTATGAGAGAAGGGAAGTAAACTTCTATTAATTTAACTCACCTTTCAGGAGTCACTTTCTGCTATATTCAGTGATGTTATCCCTAGCTGCTTAACTCTGGAAAAGCCTCCTCTTCTCTAACCCTATTTATCCAACTGCAAAATGAAACTAACAACATAATATGAAGGAGAAAAACATCATATGTTAAGCATTGACAAAGCATTAGGAATATGAAGGCAAAAAGATAAAAGCAAT